ACCGCTTAATTAAGGAATAGACCTTAAACCATAATATGAAGGCCCCTATAATTTAAGGTATATTCCTTAATTAAGTGTCATTGGGCTCTCTGGGAAGAGCCTCCGAAAGCTTCTCTTTCCATCTCGATCCGGAAGCCTCCCCCCTTAAAGTAAAACCTCCAAGACAAGACTCTGCACTCCATTTTTGGTTTTACAGAAGGGGGGGGGTTAAAGGGCTTCAGGCTCAGAAAGACAACTAGGGGTTGGGGCATCAACGATTGGAAGAGGGTTGCCGGCTAGTACCGCTGAAATGCTCATGGAAAGCTCCAGACAATGGCCTCCGAAAGAAGCAACAAGAAGCTGACCAGAACAAACCTCCCAAAAAAGAACCTCCTCTTCGCCCCCCCCCCAAACCCTAAACCCTAAACCCTAAACCCTAAACCCTAAACCCTCCCCCTCCTAGGAAGGGCGAGTCCGCCTTTCAGATGTCCGGCTCCGGGATCGACAACAGCAACGAGGGCCAGGGCGACGTGGAGCCCGAGGCTCCCGGAGCTCTGGCTCGGGTTCTATAGTAGGGTTTAGGGGATTAGGGTGTAGGGTTGAGGGTTTAGGGTTTAGGGTTTAGGGTTTAGGGTTTAGGGTTTAGGGTTTAGGGAAAGGGGCTTAAAATAATTACCAATACTAATTTTGGTGGCTCCTTATTATAACTGTGGAAAAATTTACCCCAACACCCTATTCTAATTACTAAGGCCCCTATATACATTACGTGTTGATTTTTTTTCAGGGGCTTTCATATGGGATCTAGAGGGGCGCTATGAGTCAAAAAGGGGTTCTGTAGGGTTTCGTTCCTTTCGGAGGCTTATCGTGGGTTGTGTATGGAAGTTTGATTCTTATAGGCCCTAAACCCTGAACACCTAAACCCCTAAACCCTCTTTCCTCTTTGGTGGCTCTTTCAGGGTCAGGCTCTCGGGGTTCGGGGATTGGCCTAGAAACGCAAAGACGTAGCCCTAAACCCCAAGCCATGCACAGACGTGACCTAAACCCCCATAAACCTATACCCCCCTCACAAGAATACTGAAAGGCTATTGTAAGCTTCTAAACTTTGAATGCGAATCCCAAGACCGTACCCTATACCAAAACCCCACTCCCGAAACTAACCCCAATACACTAAAGCCCAGGCTCTCTATATCATTAATCTACCTACATGAGGTTGAGGGCCACCCAAGCCGATGTCCGCTGCCACACAACTGTCCCAGAAGTCTCGGACTGTGGTACTATCGGGTGTTAATCCGGTGTTATGGTAAATCTCAACTTATATGATCGTATGCGTCGGTCAGTAAGCAATGGTGTTATTAAGCTCGCTACTTCTATAAGAACCAGATAGTGTCTAAATCCTAAACCCTAAACCCTAAACCCTGAATCCTAACCCCACCTAAACCCTGTAAGCCCTAGCGGTGCACTTTCAGGAGGAGGATTACGACTCCGAGGACCTCGAGGCCATGCAAACGAGGCGCCCACACCACTCCACCGTTTCGCTTCTTTGTGGTTTCTATACTTGGAGGTTCATGGGTAGTTATAAGTAAGGTTACTATAATTATAACCCATATTAGGGACTGATAACTTCACCTATAACTACCCATGAACCTCCAAGTAATCCTTGTTTAGGGTTCCAGAGGCTTTAGGGTTTAGGGTCTTGGGCTCCATGTTCCTCTCTACCTGTACAGTAAATTTTCTTAGGCTTGAAAGGGGTTCCGATAAAAGAACTTCGAGGCCAAGGAACCTATACGGACGGGCTGTTGCGGTTTCAGTGTTCTTTGAAGGGTTGCTACAAGAGTTGCTTGAGGGCTTTAGGGCTATATAGGGATGTATACAGGGCATCTACAAGAATTTAGGGTGTGGGGCTAGGGCTCTAGAGAGTTCACGGCTTGGGTTTGGGGTTTTAGTGATTATTTTGCCTTTGTTCAACATTTTCAACACGGTTAGTGACATGAGAGCAGGTTTGAGCCAAACATGGACCTGGGTTTAAGTTTAGTTCCTTTTGAGGGTTTATATATATATATATACACTCTGTATCTGTATATACATATATATATATATAAAGAGATGGTGAACCTACAAAAAGGGATTACAATCGAGACTCCAGGTAGATATTACGTGGAGTCTCTGGGTGTTGCCAGGTACAAGCAGCGTTGCAGCCCCGAAGCCGCCTCTTGGGCTGTAGAAATGTGTAATACAGGGGCCTTAATAATACCACTCTTCTGGGGCTCCCTATGATCATTATAGAGTATAATGCCACCCCCCCCCCCCCAAAAAAAAAA